AAATTATGAAAAACATCACAGAGAGTCAACACTTAAAACGTAAATCTTGTAAGTCACCTTTATCCTTTATTTCTAACACATTTGGGTTTTTTGGTGTTCTTTTTGCTTTCTTTGTTTAAAAGGATGAGTTGGTTATTTTTAAAAAGTATGAATCATCAATGAAATGCATTTCCCCTAAAAAATACATTGCAGGTAAATGGAGTGAAGGTAATTTATTGACTATCTTTATAGCTCTAGCCAGCAAGTAAGTGCATTACTGAGCCAGTTCAGACACCAATAAATCTGAAGATAACCATATGGCCAAAACGATTTTGAAAGGTCAGCAGTAATGTACTGTAAAAGCAGAAATTACCTGGTGCTGGTGCTAAATGAGTCATAAATTGAAACCACAATAGATCAACAAGCCCTCCCATGCCTTGTCTAAAAGCTAAAGTAAGTAATGTCTTGTTATTTATTATGGGTAAGTGATATGTCATGATGAATATCCTTTAAAAGTAGGTCTTTTCATTGGAAGTTTATTTCACTTCAAAGGGAAATACTTCTTTTGATAATTGCTTTATATCCTGTTGACAGAGCATATCTCTCCCTGGAATACCCTCAGTGTCATATCAAATCTTTAATCATATCATGCCAGCAACTACATTTAACCACAGTGCATTAATTAGCTAATTAGCGCAACAGAGCACAATATCAAATCATTCCCAACTATGCCATTAATCCAAACGAACATGGTTCAAAGCTGCACTGTGTCAAAGTGCTGCTGGATTTTAATAATTTCTCCCACTGCAATCCATGATGAATATTGATTAGAAGTCTTTACAGTTGGGAAAATCTATTTGTGCCACAAAAGCAGTGTGGCTCTATGGCAATGCCTCCGTCTCCATCCACCCTTTTTGGTGCAAACTGAAATATAGTGTATGTCTCTATATTATCCCTACTACTACTAATATCCATTTGACATTTTTAGTTTTTATTTAAATATCTTGACAACTATTTGATGGATTTCTGGGTCATCTGCTATAGAACCCAAAGGATGAATTTTAATCACTTTGATCCCTTGAACTTTGATCTTGTGCCATCATCAGGTCAAGATATTGATTCATGAAATACTTCTTTTTTTTTTTTTTTTACCAAATACCTGCAAAACTGTTGTTGTTTCTGGATTTAATTGTACTTTAATGTCACAGAACCAACAATACATCTAACATATATGTTTTTAATGTCTCTCCTGTTGACATAGCATGTCAGGTTTTCTGTGTTTTCCAGCTTCCTTGCACACTCTCTTTGCTAATAAAGTGATTATTTGGAGATTTATGGAGGGGGGCACTGACCCTGTGACCTCTCATGCTGGCGATTCTACAGCATACCAAGCAGGAATCATTACATTGCCCCAAGAAAAAAGATCTGCAATAAACACCCCCCTCATCCTCCATGATCATACGGACATAGACATACATTTACTTTTCTATCCCCTCTCTTTTCCTCTTTATCCTCCCCTCAGATTAATAAAGCAGGTCCTTCCTGGGATAGACCTCAGGCCACCTGATTGGTTTAGTCCAGTGCTAAGCTGAGGCAGCTTACAGGGCTTTGTGCCAATAGCTGGATTGCTGAAGACCTGTAAAAAGTGGAGAGAGCTAGCATGGTCTGCACTGTGGTGGTGGCCAAGATAGTTAATGTGGTGAAGAAAAAAGAGAGATAAGATTCCGAATATTTCAGCTGGAAACATAGCTATAAAATAAACAGAGAGCAGAAGATGTATGTAGACAGAAGGGGCCATGAGGAGAACCAGAGCAAATGATGCAGCAGGGAATTGTTGCAGCTCCGTTCTGCTTTAATACTGGCTAAATCATGAAGTGCACTGTCAACAGCTCAGGAGGGGAAGAAGGCAAACAGAGACATGAAAGCTGACAGGAATTAGGTGCATCAGATTCTCTCAGGAGAACCAACTTGGCACTGGAATGAGGGATTAAAAGTAAGGAGAAACACCCCTACTGTACTGTGAACTGAGTGACAGGCATTGCTGTACATGTTTCACTTAGCAGGAGAGTGGCTAGTGCGTGTCATGCGTACTTGTGATTGAATGCACTCATGCAAAAGGGATAACTGCGGGGGCAGCGGCTCCATCAATGGGAGTGTTTGTGCCACATTCTTCATCTTACCGGCTCGGGTAAATCTCCTCTCCCTCATTTGCAGATTGAATCTCTGGAGCGGCGGAATGCCTCAAAACAAAAGGTAGGTTTGCCCTCTTGGCTCTTCACTGCTATACATGGTGAATGTTAACCTATGTTATGTAATCCTGTACATTAACTCACACAGTAACTGCATTATGAGTGTGTTCAAACCCTCACTATACACTGATATTCACCAGAAAGCTGTGAATTGCACACCATACTTATCTGTTTACCCTTATGTATTTATCCCATAAACATCACAGAGTGTCTAATGGAGTTAGTTGTAGTTTCACAGCAGTGTCATTGTGTGATTTACTGGGCAACTACTACATAAACAAGAATAATTATTCATAAAAAGCAAGGGAACAGGGGTAATTCAAAGTCTTTGTTTGCTTGACTTCACGTTGATATTTTAAGAAGAGGGGGGATAAAATCCCTTTTTCATCTTCACACGAGGCTGGTGAAGA